AGCCCCCCCCGCCCCCCCATTCTATTCCACCGCCACCAGGGGGCCATAAATGCATGAAAAAAATTCCCTTCTCTCCATAAAAAAGGGGCGATCGGCCGTTGTGCTACGTCTTATATCCCCGTCATAGTACACAGAGAAGCCGGCTGCACTCCGATGAAAATAGGCAAAGCTTTATTGTTCTAGACAAGACGACAAAGAGGTCCGCCTGACCTTACACTGACGCGTTCCATCCACAAGTCACTTTATCAGAGATCTGGGTGAAACGCGTCAGGCTGGAACTATTCGGATGTTGTCCGGGAATAAAGCCTCGTCATCGGAGTGCAGCCGGCTTCTCTGTGTACGTTGGGAGCGCTGCGGATTAGTATGTGGCTCCCGCCATCATCCATTCACATTCAGTATTTCAGATGATTAGAAGGGGCGCTGGGCGTGCGCTCCAAGTACGCCGATCACAATGGAGGATCAGGCCGGTGCAATGCGCTCTGTATAGTAACATGGCCGCCGTGTATTGTGCCAGTCTGATGATGGACGTCCACTGCGCACTTACAGAAGCCGATCATCTCTGGCGCAGTGGTGGGCGTTGCTTAGGGCGGTTTAGTAGCTGTGGGCGGGTCAGTGGGCGTTGCTTAGGGCTGTTTAGTAGCTGTGGGCGGGTCAGTGGGCGTTGTTTAGTAGCTGTGGGCGGGTCAGTGGGCATTGCTTAGGGCTGTTTAGTAGCTGTGGGCGGGTCAGTGGGCATTGCTTAGGGCGGTTTAGTAGCTGTGGGCGTTGTTTAGTAGCTGTGGGCATTGCTTAGGGCTGTTTAGTAGCTGTGGGCGGGTCAGTGGGCATTGCTTAGGGCGGTTTAGTAGCTGTGGGCGTTGTTTAGTAGCTGTGGGCATTGCTTAGGGCTGTTTAGTAGCTGTGGGCGGGTCAGTGGGCATTGCTTAGGGCGGTTTAGTAGCTGTGGGCGTTGTTTAGTAGCTGTGGGCATTGCTTAGGGCTGTTTAGTAGCTGTGGGCGGGTCAGTGGGCATTGCTTAGGGCGGTTTAGTAGCTGTGGGCGTTGTTTAGTAGCTGTGGGCATTGCTTAGGGCTGTTTAGTAGCTGTGGGCGGGTCAGTGGGCATTGCTTAGGGCGGTTTAGTAGCTGTGGGCGTTGTTTAGTAGCTGTGGGCGTTGCTTAGGGCTGTTTAGTAGCTGTGGGCGGGTCAGTGGGCATTGCTTAGGGCGGTTTAGTAGCTGTGGGCGTTGTTTAGTAGCTGTGGGCATTGCTTAGGGCTGTTTAGTAGCTGTGGGCGGGTCAGTGGGCATTGCTTAGGGCGGTTTAGTAGCTGTGGGCGTTGTTTAGTAGCTGTGGGCATTGCTTAGGGCTGTTTAGTAGCTGTGGGCGGGTCAGTGGGCATTGCTTAGGGCGGTTTAGTAGCTGTGGGCGTTGTTTAGTAGCTGTGGGCGTTGCTTAGGGCGGTTTAGTAGCTGTGGGCGGGTCAGTGGGCATTGCTTAGGGCTGTTTAGTAGCTGTGGGCGGGTCAGTGGGCATTGCTTAGGGCGGTTTAGTAGCTGTGGGCGTTGTTTAGTAGCTGTGGGCATTGCTTAGGGCTGTTTAGTAGCTGTGGGCGGGTCAGTGGGCATTGCTTAGGGCGGTTTAGTAGCTGTGGGCGTTGTTTAGTAGCTGTGGGCATTGCTTAGGGCTGTTTAGTAGCTGTGGGCGGGTCAGTGGGCATTGCTTAGGGCGGTTTAGTAGCTGTGGGCGTTGTTTAGTAGCTGTGGGCATTGCTTAGGGCTGTTTAGTAGCTGTGGGCGGGTCAGTGGGCATTGCTTAGGGCGGTTTAGTAGCTGTGGGCGTTGTTTAGTAGCTGTGGGCGTTGCTTAGGGCGGTTTAGTAGCTGTGGGCGGGTCAGTGGGCATTGCTTAGGGCGGTTTAGTAGCTGTGGGCGGGTCAGTGGGCATTGCTTAGGGCGGTTTAGTAGCTGTGGGCGGGTCAGTGCTTAGGGCTGTTTAGTAGCTGTGGGCGGATCGGTGGGTGTTTCTCAGGGCTGTGGGTGGGTCAGTGGGCGTTGCTTATGGCTGTTTAGTAGCTGTGGGCGGGTCGGTGGGTGTCACTTAGCAGCTGTGGGCAGGTCAGTGGGCGTTGCTTAGTAGCTGTGGGCAGGTCAGTGGGCGTTGCTTAGTAGCTGTGGGCGGGTCAGTGGGCGTTGCTTAGCACTGTATAATCATACCTGCCCCCTGAAGGAAATGGCGATGTCATCATTGTGAGGTCAGGAACAATGGAAGGCATGTTGGACCCGGGTAAGGACATGGTGTTGCTCCGGATTGGAGTTCAGCTTCAAGAATAAACATATGACCCCACCCCCCCTTACTACTCCGCTCTCATGGGGGCCCGATCATCCCTCACCCTGCGATCCCGCATCCTATGGACAATGCACAGCGCACCTTACTCACATCCTTCACAATGCGTTTTGTTTTGTGCGCGTCTCCCCCCCCAAAAAAAACAAGAGACCTGACCACCTCCCAAGTCGGGCCCAGTGATTTCCAGAACGCATGTGGTGCAGTACCTGCGGTGGATGTAAATGGCGCTGCGAGCCGCCTCCGGGTTCGCGCACAGTCCGAGCGGTTACAATAGTCCATAAAATGTCCTCAGAGGTCCTTCAATAACTTATAGAACACATTTCACATCATGTTAAAAAGCAAAAACTCTCCCCGTTAAAACAACCTCCCCCCCCCTGCACTTCCTGACGCAAGGGGCGGGCCCACGCCAAAGGGCGGCACGTGAACGGCTGAAGTGTTGGCGTCAGTCCCGTTGTGTGCGGAGGGGGGAGATTTATAAAGCACCACATTGAGGGGCCGAGCGGATGCCATAGTGTCCACCTTCCGGTGATAAAAAAATTTAATAAAGTTTTTGTTTAAAAAAAAACAAAAAAACCTTTTGGGTCGGTCTGTGCTTCGCTGCCAAGTCTCACCTCTCTCGCTGAAGGTTTCAGGTCAGCGCGAAGCTCTTCAAGTTCTCCAGCTGGTAATAAATTGATACTAAATAGATATACGCAAGTCTTTGAATGAAGGGGGGGCGGGGCCCCCCAGAATTAGGATCTCCGGTACGGTGGCTGGTACAGGATGGAGGGGGGGCCGGTGACTATAGGACGTCCGCTCGCTTGTCCCGGACGCGGTTCCTGGCTTTAGTTCTCGCTTTGAAGGCGGCGGAGTTGAACATATGCTGAAAAAAAAAGGAAACAAAAATAAATATATATTTAGAAGCAATTCAAACCAATCACGGATCACGTCTACAGAGAGCGCAACCTAACATGAACGGTAAAGTCACCGCATGCTACAGAACAATCTGCCGATAATTCCTAATAATCAATAACAACGTTCAGTAAAACTGACCCCCGAGTACCTCAGCTCTGTATCTTTTATCGTGGTCACATGACCACTCCAGGCTCCGCCTCTGCAGGATTGGATGTCCAGCTTGGGGGTGGGCCAGGAGGCGTGGTTGCCAGGGAAACCTCCCAATGCTAGAGAGGCGGAACTAAAGAGATGATTGACATCCTTGTACACGCCCCCTTCCCCACAGCTCAGGGGCGGGACAGGAGGCGTGGCTGCCTGACAAACATCTTAATGCCGTGGGTGGAGTTATAGGGATGATTGACATCCTTGTACACGCCCCCTTCCCCACAGCTCGAGGGCAGGACAGGAGGCGTGGCTGCCTGACAAACATCTTAATGCAGTGGGTGGAGTTATAGGGATGATTGACATCCATGTACACGCCCCCTTCCCACAGCTCAGGGGCGAGGCAGGAGGCGTGGCTGCCTGACAACCATCTTAATGCCATGGGTGGAGTTATAGGGATGATTGACATCCTTGTACACGCCCCCTTCCCCACAGCTCGAGGGCGGGACAGGAGGTGTGGCTGCCTGACAAACATCTTAATGCTGTGGGTGGAGTTATAGGGATGATTGACATTCCTTTTTACACCTCAACCTACAACATTGCTGTCCACCAACAGTTCAGGGGCGGGCCAGGAGGCGTGGCCTGCAAGGCATGGAATCTGCCCCACAGGCGTTGCTGCCATTGATATGTACAGCCGGGAGGGCCGGGCCCCATATGAGGCCATGACTAGGCATAGCTTGCTTGTAAAAGGGGCCGGAAGCATGCGCACTGTGGTGCCAACGCAGGAAGGGGGTCATTGATCCCATAGAACAGGGGGTGGGGAACCTCCGGCCCGCCAGCTGTGGTGACACTACACATCCCATGATGCATCTGTCTCTGGGAGTCACGCCTGTAGCTGTGAGACTCTTGCAATGCCTCATGGGATTTGTAGTTTCACCCCACAGCTG